GAGGATGTTTAGGGCAGAGAAACAACTCTGTGTGACACTGTACTGACGGATACAGGTCATTATGCATTTGACCAAGCCCAAAGAATGAACACACCCAGACTGGGATGGGAGGTCTGAATAAAGCAGGTGGCCCTGTGGCGGGCCTCATCTAATCAGGTGCAGGGCTGGCTAGCACAACAGGTTGGGATAATTCCGTTTCTGTCCACTTAACCTGGGATGTCTACCTTCTCCTGCCCTCAGACATCACTGCTCCTGGTTCTGGGCACTTTGGACTGGGACTGGATTATTCCCGGGCCTCCAGTTTACAGACAGCACATCACGCCTCTTCTTGGCCTCCAAAGATGCATGAGTTAATTCCTCATAATCAACAAACACGTCCAGATAGATATCCAGGCATCTGTGTTAATGAGGGTCCTCCAGGGTAACAGAACCCGCTCTCACTACCTGATCCCCTCCCAAAGGCCGAGCACCCAACACCATCCCCGTGGGAGACACACAGCCACACAAGCCCCCTGGGAACACATATTCAGGGCCCAGGAGGCTCACACCACCTGCTCCGGAGGCGGCCCCGAGAGAGGTCGGCGGTGAGGGCGAAAGGGCAGGAAGGGCGTCCTGCACCACCGCCTGCTTCCCACCAGTGGGGGAGATGCCTTCCCTGCACGTTCTGACCCCCAACCCGGCCATAACCCCGGACTGTAGGTGCACCTCCTGGGATCCCCCCTGTCCCCCGTCCTCAGCCCTAACTCATCAAGGACAAGGCCAGGAGGGGCACAGCCAGCCTGTTGCCCTGACCCTCACCAGCCCTCCAAGGGGCTGTCACTGGTGCAAGCCCCCAGCACGCAGGCCGCTGCTCCCAGGACCCTCCTGCCCCCTGGAACTCTCCCCCCGCACCCTGACCCCTGCCCGGGGCCCTGCCTGGAGAACCCACACCCAGGCTTCACGGAACAGCCAGAACGGTTGGGCTCTGCCCTGACGAGGCCCCCACCTCCCCAAGAAAGCCACTGTTTGCACTGCCTGCCTTGTACAGGGCCCCCACCCTGGAGTCACAGCAGGCGGCTGGGTGCGGGGTCTGAGTGGCCCTAAGGGTTGGGGTACCTCCCTGGCTAGGTGTGCAGGAAGGATGGGCACCACGGCAGCCTGGGAGGCAGAGGACCCGGCACGCAGTGCACAAGATGCTCCATCCCACTGTCCTGGGCAGGAGCGTGCGAGGGGCGGGCCTCAGAGCCCCTGTGACGTGAGGGGGCTGGGCTGTGAGAATCCCTCGGTTCCTCCCAGCCTGTTTGGTAGGGCGGGTAACACTGTAAATCCAAGCCCCGAGAGCCGGGGGCAGCTCTGCTTTCAGAAAAAGCCTTAACTCAGAAAATTTCACACAGAGACTAAAAGCCCAATGCCTTCAGTTTAACTGTAACAGCATGACTGAATGGGTGGGTGATAGAAAACAGACAGACAGATAGATCGAGAGACATAATAGATAAATACAAAGGTGGTAAACAGGTAGATGATACATAATACATAGATGATAAATAATAGATACAATACATGATAGATAATAGACAATAAACACACATGTAAATATGGACAATAAACAGATGATACAAATAAGATACCTAGATGACTGACAGACACATAAAGGGAATATAATAAAATATATAAATGTGAAATAAACAGTATGTATATACTACATATATGTATGTATGCACATACATATGTGCTATTTATATATAAAGTATCAATTGCAACCATGCTTTGAATAAAGTGTAGTGCAAATGTAACAACCTGGGCATTGATGTAATTATGTAAGTTGAATCACGATGCATCTAAATATAATGCACAATCATACATACGTAAGTTAAAACACTGGCCAACAGACAGCAAAGCAGGGGTTCCCAATTCTGTGCACGGATGGGCTCTCTCTGCCCTGTCTAGCCGCCAATCACCACCTCATTTCCTCGAAAACCCCACCATGACCTTCCCAGAAACAAGAGCCTCAAGACGACTCATAAAGCCTGGCATCTGGGAACTTCAAACTGAGTCTCCTATGAGAGGCATCTGGTGCCCCAAACTCAGGAAAATGCCCCTCCAAAGTCCCCAGTGGAGTCACGGGGTTCCATCCTCCTGACAAGCAGACGACCGCCTGTTGCTCTGAGGAAATGTGTGTTGAGGAATGTGCCCCCCACAATGCGCCATGTGCTCCCTGAAAAAGGCAGGACTGTCCTATCCCCGTTCACCAAAAGTCTAATGAGTTTGGGTCAATCGAGAAGCTGAACCGACCACCCGGAAAGCAAGAGGCAGAAAATGCTTCCTTGCATGGTGTGTCTCCTTAGCAGGCATTTGGGTGGCGTCCCAGATGTATATACAGAGCAGATACCCACCCCAGGTGTACAACCCCAACATGGGACCCCCACCCTGGGCAACAGGGTAAAAAGCTCGGGTGTGCACAGGCACCCAGGGGTACGGTGAGAATGCAGGAGGTCCCAGGAGGCCCCCAACCTGCATTTGTGGCAAGCAGGGCACCTCTGTGCTGTGGCCACCGGCCATCAATTGAGAACCAGGGTCTGCAGAAAGGGAGTCCCTGGCCGAGGAGGAGCCTTCCAGGGTCAGGACCTGGACTTGAGGTCATCTGAGATTCTAGGCCACGTGCAAACAGGATGGAGGTGGCTGTGTGCCTAGCAACCCCGGGTGAAGGAGACAGGTCTGGAGGCCCCCAAAACCAAGCAGGAGATGCCGTCCACCTGCAGGGCACTCGGCCGCCAAAGCTTAGAGGTCAGCATGAGGGTGAGTCCGGCTGGGAGCCCAGCCCCCGTGTGAGATGAGTCAGGAGCACAGAACGGCCTGTGCATCCAGAGCTGCAAACGAGTTCTGGGGACCCAGACAGCTCTGAAATATCAAACTCCATCCATTCTGAATTCAGTCCAACTTCCAGGACAGAGACCCAGGGGGCCACAAGTTCCCGAGGAAAGTGTTTCCACGTATGGGTCTGGGACATGTGCAGAGGGCACCCTGAACCAGGAGAAATGGGCTCTCAGCCCGTGGCATCACCGTGCACCCTAAGGGACATCAGCACCTGGTCCCTCAGCCCCGTGATCTGTCAGCAGGTCAGGCCGCGCTCAGAGGGGGCTGCTGGGTGTGGGGTCTCACTGCAAAGACCCCTGGTAGTACCCACCTTCCCGAGCGGGCGCACGCCGGGAGGACAGAAGCCTAGCCTCCTGTGAACCCTGAAAGTAACCTGGCCAGGAAACAGAGTATCAATAGGGGACCCAATTAAAGGATTCAGGAAGACATAACTCCTGAAAGTCAGGGGTGAGAGGGCCCTGTGACTGCCCCTGCTGGCAGCCACTTAAACACTAAGAATCCCACACAAACGGATTTGATGCCATCTCAGCTTCCTGCCTTCCCAGAATTCACTCAGCAGATTCACAGCAATAGCCAGAGGCCATGAGGCCACAGGTGAGGCCACACTAGACAGATCACACGCAGGGGCCTGCACATGCCTGCAGGAGGCAAGCACACGTGTGTAGGCAAACGTCAGCCCCAGGACCAGCGGCTGGGAAGGCCGTGGAGGCCCCATCACCCAGAAGAACATTTCCGTCCTGGCATGGGACCTCATCAGAGAATACACACCTTGTGAGCTCACGTATGGAGGGACAGCTCCTGGTGGCTGCACGGACTGCGGCTTCCCTGCCACACTGTTAACGGACCATCCACAGGACACAGGGACGTCCCCTGGCCATCGCAGGCTAACTCACCAGCACAAACTCAAAGCAGGCGGCTCGTACAGGGAGGCACACAGTGCCCGGGCCCGAGATGTGCACACTGCCTCTCAAACCTGCACAGCTGTGCAGACTCAGGGGCAGAGGGGAGAGAGCAGAGCTCCTCCGACCAGCGGACCAGGACCCACGTCGGGCCACTGCAAGCCTCAGGCCAAGGTGGGTGGCCTGGATTTCCTGGGACAGATATGTTCTCATGAGTTCTATGCTTCCAAATGGTTGAACCGAAACCAGAAGAGCAGAAATATTTCACAACACAGAAATGACGTAAAATTCAAGTGTCACATTTGATGCCCATGTAAAATTCAAGTGTGACTTTATGGGCTCACAGCCAGGCCCACATAAGAAAGGGTCTTGGGAATCCCATGGGTCACCAGGCCACAAATATTTACTGTCTTACTGACAAAGGTCTGTGGTTGCTGCTGGGCAGCTGCTAGAAGCCCCAGGATTCCCTCAACACCAAGTATCCGGGAACCAGATGCATGTCTGAAATCAGACCCCGGATTCGAGGTGTAGCCGCAGTCCCAGCCTCTCTGGGTCTGACTTCCTGTGCACAGCCTCCGCCCCCCGTGGCTCACCAGGCCCCACACTCAAGAATAGGGGGCCGCTAACGTCCTGGGGTCTGGCTTCCTGCCCTTTGCCCCCTTCCCTGCAAACACTGAGAAAGCCTTGACTGAATGTGGCTGCTGCATTTCCCACCCTCCCTGGGCCTGCCCCGAATGCAGAGCTCAGACTCAGGGCCCTACAGACAGATGTAAGCATTAAACCCCTACCATCCTGGATTAGGCGAGCGCCGGGCAGGCCCAGATACTAGAACTACGTACCGGGTGGGGACCAGGTCTGCACAAGCCCATGTGAAGGACCAGGAGGACACCTACGTACAGGAGAACGGCGAACGCTATGGAATCACCGGTCCACATGACCGGAAACGAGCCCATTTAAACTCAAAATGCGTGCAAATGTTAAATGCCAGCAAGGCAGGCATGCCAGTGCAAAAGCACAGGAAATCACGGCTCCCGGACCTCGCACGCCAGTCCGCCGTGGGCAGATTTACTCAGATATCACGACGCAAACCCATCCATAAAATCAGCATAACCAAGATCACTTCCAGTGACCGAGGACACAGGGAGACAGACTTAATTCTCTGTGGCCTGGAAAAGTTTCTGAATGACAACAGGAAACCTGCCTCGCAGTGGGACGGCTTACACACAGCGCCAGTGTGAGGAACGCATGTCAGACGAATAAATTACGAGTTCATTTATTTCTGGAACTTATGGAACAAAGTCAAATCCGAAAGTGTTAAATAGACACCCAACCAGCGAGGGGGAGGCCTGGTGGCCCATGGGCTTCGTGAAAAAGGCAAGAGTCGCGGAGAGGCAGGCGGCCAGGGTGGCACACGGTTTCATAGAGTCAGAAAAAGCCAGCATGTTTAGGAAACACGCAGGGGGATGCCTTTGGCGTCATAAATGTGGGACCTGCATCTCGGGGCCTGGGAGCAGAGACGGGACACGTCTTGGAGACAGTGCCGCTCGGCCCATGCAGCTGCCATGCTCCGGGGATACACGCAGAAAGTCTTGAGCTAGTCCGGGAATCGCTTTCCCTCACAGAAGGCAGCCCATGGCTTGAGGTGGGTCCTGCCTACTCCGAGGGCCTCCCAACAAACCATCCTCCCCATGTGGGGGCGTCCGAGCAGGGGGGGGACCTAACACAGGCCTTGGCTCTGCTGAAGAAAGGCCAACAGTGAAATTAAAAGTTGTTCCAAGCTTGCCTCCTACAATCTGCTCACTGTGGCCAAAGAATGTTTCCCAGAGCTTCCTAGAGGCCAAGTTCCCATTCAGGTGAACAGGTACACGCGTCTTCATTCAATTGACTTGCCTGCAGGTTGCTCACGGCCTGGGGAAGGAGGCGAGGGGGTTCATCCATCCGTCCGCAGGTCTGGCATTTTTCGGATGTAACCCGGACCCTCCCTGGGAAGAACTCGGCTTGCTCGGGAGTAGAGTTCTGCACACAGCTGCAAGTCCACCACGAGATTCCTTCTCCTGGTGTCTCCCGGTGCCGGCCAACAAGCCAACCTACGGGGTGGGGGTTTTCATCAAAGCATCCCACGGGGAACCCCGTGGCAGCTACATGAATCCGCCATCCCGGACCCCGAAGAAGGCGCCGTGCACAGCCTCCCCCAGGGGGAAGCCCGGCTCGTGGTACAGGCCCCATTCCCCCTCATCTTCATCCACTGGCTCGGCCTCGGCGCCGCCGCGCAAGTTCTCATACAAGAAGATCTGTTCGTCCACATGCGCCGGGGCCAGCCGGTTCCGCTTGGCACTGACCACGTTGGCCGAGGAGCTGAAGAGGCGCTCGGGGAAGACGCGGGTGGGTGCCACGCACCAGTACTTCTGCAGGACCCGGGGCAGCACGGGGAACAGAGCCAGGCGGTCGGACCACCACTTGAGCGGGTCCTCGCCGAGTCCCAGCACCTTCTGGGACTTGAAGTTGCTCAGCTCCTCCACCACCTGAGCGTGCCACTCCTCCTGGTCGTCCACGCCGCCCGTCTGGCAGAAGATCTCAGCCAGCATGCTGTTGATGACGCTGGTGGGCGGCGGCGTGGACGCCAGCCCCGGCTTCTTCGCCGGGGGCTCCTCGGGCGGCGTGTAGATCTTGTCCTCGGGTGGCCGGTAGCTGCCGTCCTTCATCTTGTCCAGGAGGCCCTTGGCCTCCTCCACCACCCTGTTCTCCACCTGCTGCCTCTCGAACGCGGACAGGAAAGGCAGCCGCTTGTAGCGGGGGTCCAGGAAGGTGGCCACGTTGAGGAACATGTCGATCTCGGGGGTCTCCTGGTAAGTCTTGATGAGCTCCTTGGCAATCACCTCCTTGACTATGCTGATCTCTTTGGAGTCTGTCTCCTTGACGTTCAGGGTGGTGTTGAGAAGCATGTGCAGCAAGGGCTTCACCATGCTGATGGTTGGGTACTTGGAGGCGGACAGCACGTCGGCCACCTGCTTGAAGGGCTGCAGGAGCTCCACCAGCCCCTCAATGGTGCTCCATTCACTGGCCTCCAGCATCAGGTGGTGGTTGTTGCTGTCCTCCACGAGCACGCCGGCGATGACGAACTGCTGCTCCCTGAGACGTTGCAGCATGGCGAGCGTGTTCCCCCACCAGGACACGCGGTCGCTCACGAGCATGCAGTGGGCCACGTTGTGCTGTTTCTGCTTCGCGTAGAGCATGTACGTGGCCACGGCGGACTGCTGGAAGTACTCCACCAGCCTGCGGCAGCGGGCCACCAGTCCGCCCAGCTTGGGCAGCTGCAGGGCCTGCTGGATGCCCGCGTTGAACGTGTGCCCGAGGCAGGGCATTTGCACGGAGATGTCCAGCAGGGAGCAGGCCTTCACCACGTCCTTCCCGCAGTCCGAGGTGGCCCCGGACACCTTGGCGCTGATGCCCCACTCGACGAAGGCCTCGTACAGCACCCGGGTGACGGTCTCCGCCGTGTTCTCCTTGGGCACCTCGAACGTCTTCAGGCAGCGGGAGCCCACGGACAGGCAGTGGGCCGCGCCACCGGCCAGAAAGTGCGCGGCCAGCGTGACATAGGCCCTGTTCTGGCTCTCACTGTGCCACGTGTCCGTGGAGATGCCGCACCATGAGGCGTCCGAGAGCTCCTTGAGGACCACCTCGCGCACCGCGCCATACTTCTCGGGGATGGCCTTGCTGCAGAAGAACGTGCGGCCGGGCAGCTCGTACCTGGGGTCGGCTGTCTTCAGCAGCGCCTTGAAGGTGGGCTCGTCCACGATGGAGGCGGGGTACAGCCCTTCGCAGATGAGGCTGATGACGGCGGCCGTGAGCTCCTGCTGTCTCTTGCTCTCCTGCCCGTGGCCGGCCTTGGCGGCCAGCGGGTCCTGCGCAGCCTGCTGCGAGGACTCGGGCTTCAGCTTGGAGAAGGCGGTGGCGAAGGCCTCGCGCATCTGCTCCGTGTTGCTCTTGACGAACTCACAGAACTCCTCCGGGTGGTTCTTCTCCAGGTGGTAGGACAGGTTGGAGGTGTTCCCGGAGTAGGCGATCTGCGCCATGCAGATGCGACAGTAAATCCTCTTCCATTGCAGGATGCATCCCTCCGCGTCAGTGTCGAAGCCGAAGTACTTCCACACTTTACTCTTGGCGCGCGGGTGGGCCACTAGCTTGAGGTCCGTCGGGGAGGCGTCCAGGCCTTTGCTGTCCATGGCTCCTCGGCCGCGGCCGGCCTGCGGCCCCCGTGCTCATTCCTTAGCACCTGCTAAGAAGCAGCGAGAGAAACAGCGTCAGATGGCACGCACGCACGCGGCCCTGAGTGAGCAAGCAGGCACACAGAAGGGCACCAGGGCACGCAGGACCCCAAAGGCCACCAGTCTGGGTGCAAGGCGTTTGCCGAGCGAAAGGGGAGAGTCTGACTGACCGGCACCCTCTTCCGTCCAGGCCGGTCCTAAGGAGGCGGCGACTCCATGCGTCCGAAACCATGCACTGTTTTTGGATTTCTTCACATGACTTAAAGGGACTTCCTCACGTCAGCTATGTGCCTCCGCCTGCTCTAAGAGGCCCACCCAGCCAGCACCATCAGCCAGCTGGGGTCGTTTTCCGGGGAAGCCATGTGCTGGGTGCGTGAGCCCACGAGCATACTCCCACGTTCACGCCCTGCCACGCCAAGAACCTTAAACCGCGTTGCTGCAAAAACGCACGGCGCACAGCTCAGCGTGGCCAAGGCATTCAAGATGCAAGAGCGAGGCCTTCATTGGGCCCAAGGGGTCTTTACGTGGCCAACGAGGCGCTAAAGCTTTTCCCAAATTTTACGGGTTAAAATGACGACATTCTGCACATTGCACGCTTTAACATGGGTGTACCCCGTGGAAGGTGACCATACTGGAGCAATAGATTTCTCCACCCCTGGAACTTGTCCAAATGCCTATCACGGAAGGTGACCTGTGGGCAGTCACACGCACATGCAGCAATTCGCATCTGCTGCACACAGGTGCCAGCATCGTGCGGATCTCAGCAAGTAGTTTTGGGGACCGACAAGTCAGCCCCTCCACCCCCAGGATTCCCACACATCCAGTCCCTTGGTGTTGCCAATCAGGGCTGGGATGCCCAAGAAGTCACCTGGATTTTCATAAAAGGTCTCTTCACTCTGGAAGCTTTCAACCCACTGTTGAGCACTGGGTGAGGGGACAAGGGGGGGGCCTAAAAAGACAAACTGCACTAACCAGCCATTTTCTCAGCATTGGGAATATGTTGAGAGCCTAATCTTGATAAGGACTAGGGTGGGTTGAACAGTGTCCCCAAAATTCATGTCCTTGCAGTACCCGGGAACAGGAACTTATCTGGAAACAGGGTCTCTGCAGATGGGATTGAGGGAAGGATCTGAGATGAGGTGGTCCTGGATTGTAATTAAGGGGTGGCCTTAAATGCAATGAAGTGTCCTCCTAAGAGATGTAAGAGGAGACACACAGAGGAGATGCCACATGGAGATGGAGGCAGACACAGGAGGGATGTGGCCACAGGCCCAGGGCCGCCTGGAGCCCCCAGAAGCTGGCAGAGGCAGGAAGGAGCCTCCCCTGGTGCCTGTGGAGGGGGCTCAGCCCTGTCCCGTCCGGACCTCACACGTCTGGTCTCCAGAGCTGGAGAAGATGATTCCTGTGTCTGAAGCCACCTGGTACCTTGTTAGAGCCGCCTCACATCACTCCAAATGACAAGGATGGAACAGAAGATATCAATGGTCCCCGTCACCCTCGGTGCCGGAGAGGAGTCTCTGAATGCCCCCAGGTCCTCACAGTCGGCCATGCCATGCTGGCTTGCAGTCCACTTTTCAGGAAGATGCCACAACAGGCCGGGTAAATGGTAGCCATGGAGGAGCACAAGGACATCACTGCTGTGACCAACTCCAGATGACCCAAGAGCGTGCAGGGCAGATGGAGGGCATCCGAGACAGCAACAGGAACCCCCAAGGCTGCACCTTGTGCAGCCATATGAGGGTAGGATGGGGTACCTGGATGCGGAAAAGGCAGGCAAGGTCACATGTCGGGACCCTGACCAAAGGAACACAATTCGGGTCTGTCACTATTATCAGTACTGCTATGTAGGACTTATTTATTCCTATTTACTTATTTATTCACTATTAGGATTATTATTATTCAGGATGACTATTAGGATTGTTATTCTGGCTATATTATCTTGATTGATCTATTATTACTATGATTCATTTGGCTGCTAGTATTTTATTATTATTTCAGCTGGCATTATAATCATTATTGTTACTATTCTGGCTGATTTTTTCACTACTTTTATTATTATTTTGGCTGAAAGAGATGTCAGCACCTGGAGAGGTTTTGCGCACAAAGCATGAAGGGCCACTGGCAACGTGGCTGCATTCAGAGGCCCTCTGCTGGGAATTGTGCTTTTCACTGTAGACCATCTCAGGGACCCCCAGGGAAGAAGGCCATGTGTGCCAGGGGGCTTCCCGTGAGTACAGCCAGGCAGAGGGCCTTCCACTGGGTGTCCCTGGTCTGGGGCTGGCTTCCAACAGGGTCACAGACAAAGGTTTCTTCTGAGCAGCCTTTTACCAGGTATCCTTAGAGGGTCTGTCCACGCACCTCTGGGGGACCGTCCCCAAGACCTCCCAAAGGTCCCGTGAGCGCCTGCCTTTTCCAATGATGGGTCGGCTGAGAGCAGCCTGGTCTTCTTGACCCTTTTGAACCCAAACACCCCCCAAAACATGGGAGGAAGCAGCAGAGGGCACAGCAGGTAATCCCAGAGCCTGTCAACGACTTACACCACAGCCACTCTTTCCACACATGTTTTCCTTTTTGCAGAATATAGTTATTCTTTGTATGAAAAAAATGATGCTATAATTTTTGGCTGCTATTAGTAATGGGCAATTGGCTTGTTATGACTATTTTAAATTAAATACAGGTTTAAGTACGTTTTGAATTTTTATTGTAATTCCTAAGAGGGTAAACACGGACAGGTATAATCCCATAAACCAAAGGTCTAAAGGAAGCCAAAGTTGATGAAGTTTGAAAACTTCAGTTAATACAATGGCTCATGTGCATAAAACCAATGAAAAGTCACTTTCTCTAAAACCCGGTGCAGTTGACCCTTGCACAGCAGAGGAGTTAGAGGCACTGACCCCAAGCCATCAAAAATCCCCATGCAACTCTTGACACCCCCAAAATGTAACTACAAGTAGCCTACTGCTGAATGGGAAGCCTTACCGATAACATAAACAGTCAATTAACCCATGTTTTGGATGGTATATATATTATATACTTTGCTCGTACAATAAAGTAAGCTACAGAAAGGAAAATGTTTTATCAAATTGTCACAGATCTGGGGAAAGATATTGGTCAGAATGTTTGGTATCTTGATCTGGGTGATGGTTACACGAGGGCATATGCATGTCAAAAGACATCAAACTGTACACTAAAATTTGTGCATTTTTGGTATGTACCTCCAAATAAAAAATGTTTTTAAGTCATAGAAATAAAAAAATAAGAAAAATAAAAATAAGCTTTAAAAAAAAAAAACCTGTCACACATCTCCAAAAACATCCACACATAAGTGGCCTCATGCTAAACCCAAGATCACCTGTCGTTCACAAAACTGGAGCCCCCATCCTAAAATAGCTTTATAAGAGGGCTGGCGGACATATTTTGGGGTGGTTGCTCACTCCACCTATACAGGAACGAACGACACGTCCATTTTCCGTGCCAGAAAGCCTGCCTCCTATTTCCAACAACACTTTCAAGGACAATTCTGGGCAATACCAGAACATGATTTCCTCTCCTTTTCCAAACTCACGCACACATCCGAGAAACTGAATTTACCACAGCAGTGGCACCAGAGGGTCCTAACGCAACAGGACAATGTTCAACAGGTTCAGGCCTGTGTCTGAGTTGTAATGTCCCATGAAGACGCTGAATGCAGTAATTAAGTCCCCTATTTTAAACATGTGACCAACAGCCACACGTCCAAGCCATGTGGACAGAGAGAACGTGAAGAATGTGGAACTGACTCTGTCGCTCAGAAAGTCTCCCTTGGCTCAAAAACCATGTCTTAAAAAGTAGGACCTAGACATCCATCATGAACGCGTAACACTTTTGGGTTTAAAGAACAAATTTTGATAAATGTTAACATCGAGGACAACATACATTAGCATGTTCCTCCTTCTTTCTTCCCATTATCTAAGTGCAACGACTGTGCACGTGCCTGCCCCGCACATTCACCTTTCTAAAATGTGTAAGAGCCTGGTCGTTTCCTAAAGGTTAAGAAAATGAAACGCAGCTACTTCCAGGGTGAAATAGGGAAGGGAGCCTCTGCTACTGGTTAGCTTGATGCCCGGGGCAAAGTTCAAAGACTCCTCCCAAAAGTTAAGTCCAGTTAAGAGTAAGTCAGAAAGAAATCAAAAGGGAGGGGCACGGTGGCACTTGGGACTCTGACCTCCAGCAAGATAACAGAAGGTGTGTTTCCCCACCTGTACCCAAAATCATTTAGAATGCACCAGGCAGGCTGCGGTTTGCTTCCAGCCAGCTAGAGACTCTCATTATTTATACACAATGAACGCCACCCAAAGGCGTGGGACTAGGCACAGCCTCGGGCACATGACTTCAGGGGCCATTTGCATGTTAACGCCTTTTCGTTTCTTGAATCAACAAGTGGAAAGCGGATTGCAACTCCTGAGTTTAGGAGACGCACCGCCACCCAGCTTCAAGAGCAGCAGTTTGCTGCAGTCACGTGGCACCGAGTTTCAATCCCATTCTCCAGTGTTCCTCTCCTTTTCCAAACTCACGCACACATCCGAGAAACTGAATTTACCACAGCAGTGGCACCAGAGGGTCCTAACGCAACAGGACAATGTTCAACAGGTTCAGGCCTGTGTCTGAGTTGTAATGTCCCATGAAGACGCTGAATGCAGTAATTAAGTCCCCTATTTTAAACATGTGACCAACAGCCACACGTCCAAGCCATGTGGACAGAGAGAACGTGAAGAATGTGGAACTGACTCTGTCGCTCAGAAAGTCTCCCTTGGCTCAAAAACCATGTCTTAAAAAGTAGGACCTAGACATCCATCATGAACGCGTAACACTTTTGGGTTTAAAGAACAAATTTTGATAAATGTTAACATCGAGGACAACATACATTAGCATGTTCCTCCTTCTTTCTTCCCATTATCTAAGTGCAACGACTGTGCACGTGCCTGCCCCGCACATTCACCTTTCTAAAATGTGTAAGAGCCTGGTCGTTTCCTAAAGGTTAAGAAAATGAAACGCAGCTACTTCCAGGGTGAAATAGGGAAGGGAGCCTCTGCTACTGGTTAGCTTGATGCCCGGGGCAAAGTTCAAAGACTCCTCCCAAAAGTTAAGTCCAGTTAAGAGTAAGTCAGAAAGAAATCAAAAGGGAGGGGCACGGTGGCACTTGGGACTCTGACCTCCAGCAAGATAACAGAAGGTGTGTTTCCCCACCTGTACCCAAAATCATTTAGAATGCACCAGGCAGGCTGCGGTTTGCTTCCAGCCAGCTAGAGACTCTCATTATTTATACACAATGAACGCCACCCAAAGGCATGGGACTAGGCACAGCCTCGGGCACATGACTTCAGGGGCCATTTGCATGTTAACGCCTTTTCGTTTCTTGAATCAACAAGTGGAAAGCGGATTGCAACTCCTGAGTTTAGGAGACGCACCGCCACCCAGCTTCAAGAGCAGCAGTTTGCTGCAGTCACGTGGCACCGAGTTTCAATCCCATTCTCCAGTGATTCTGTCTTTTCCGCGAGCATCTGAAGGGCTGGGTAACCCTCCCCACCCCCACCCCCACGGGTGAAATCCCAATTGCTCGGGTGCCCATTCCCTCCACGGTCCCAACGCTCGGGGACGCCTGCCCCCAGTCCTGCCCTGTTTACATGCACTTCCTGCTCTGAGGGGCACGTGGCCCCGGCCACCTCCAGTCCGGGCCTCCAGCGCCTCACAGGCCTTTCGGTCCCAGTCCTTGTCAGTGCGTTGCGTTAAAAATACCAACCTGCAGTTATCAGAATACGAAAGGCTTAGGTGCCCTAACACCGGGCTTCACTTCCCTGCAGGGCTCATTTTTAAGTACCTCGTCCTACCCGGAGCTGCTGCTGCCCGCAGAGGGTGGCCCGGGCCCCCACCCAGTCGTGGGAAAGCCAAAGACTCGAGAGGTGCCCCGCTTGAGGGGCGCGGAGCGGCTGTTCCGGGGACCGGCGGTCGCAGGGCAGGTCTGCCCACTGCTCGGGCCGGGGGCGCACGGCGTGGCCACCAGGTACCTCACTCCCCCCCTGGCGCTCGGTACTTGGTTCTGGGAAAGAGCTACTTTTCACCCAACAATACAGCGTCCCCGGGAGTCACCCGCGGCGGCGGGGGGTGGGGGGGGCGTCCCTGCACCCGGTAAACACACGGCTGCAGGGCGCGTGAACAGGGGCAGCAATGGCACGTACGTACGAGCAGGGCGGCGATCCGCATCCCGGGGCCCCGGGGGGGTCCTGACGCCGGGGGGGGACGGTCCGAGGTCGCCGAGGGGCTCCGCTGCCGCACCCCGGCCCCGCGCTCCCGGCCTGCGGGGCGCCCTGCGCGCCTCCTTCCGGGAAGGCCGCCCGGCGCGCCCCCGGGCCTGCGGGCCGCCCCTCCTCCGCGG